ACTTTGGTTCCTACACTCCCTTTAGGCTCTCGTGCTGTAAAGCCTCCAGGATTTACTCATTCACTTATTCAACAAACATAGATTGTTAAGCACCTACCATGTGCCAGGGACTGGGATACATCAGTGAGTAACGCAGAGAAGTCCCTGCCTTTAGGAAGCTTACATCTTAGTGGGAGACAATGAATAACTAATAGATATTTGTTAGACAGTGAGAAGTGCTAAGGAGGCAAAACGAGGATAAGGAAAAAAAGGGGGAGGTGGCAATTTACATAGGGTGATCAGGGAAGGTCTCAATGATAAAGTGACATCTGAATAAAACCCTGAAGGAGTGGGGAGGAGATTGAGCCTTGTTCTGTCTGGGGTGAGGGGAGGAGGGTGAGAACTCAGCAGAGAGAAGAGCAATGCAAAGGCCCTCAGCAGGGGTCATACTTGGTATGTTCAGGAACAGCAGGGAGCCAGCATGGCTAAAGCAGTGAGAGAGGGAGAGTGACAGGGCAGGTGAAAGAGGTCAGGTCCCCCAGGGGCCTTCTGTGTCACGATGGAGATTTTGGCTCTTACTTTGAGTGGGAGATGGGATGGTATTGGGGGCTTCTGAGCAGAGAAATAACACGGTTTCATTTAAGTGTGATGGGTCTTACTCTAGATGTGTTGAGAATAGACTGATGGGGTCAAGGTCAGAAGCGCAGCTAGGAGGTTAATCCATGGGAGACATGATAGAAACCTGGACCTAGGTGATGACAGAGGAGGTGGTAGAAGCAGTCAGCTTGGGCATATATTTTGAAGATACGAGTGTTTGCTGTCAAATGTAGGGTGTGGAAAAAAGATAAGGATAACTCTCAAGGTTTTAGGGCTGAGCAGCTGGAAAGATGGAGTTACTATTCATTCACTGCAGTGGGGAATTTTGAAGGAGTCACAGGATTAGGACAATATCGGGAGCACTGTTTGGGGCTAGTTAGATTTTTGTTTTGTTTTGTTTTTTGAGATGGAGTCTCGCTCCTGTCACGCAGTCTGGAGTACAGTGGCACAATCTTGGGTCACTGCAACCTCTACCTCCCGGGTTCAAGCGATTCTCCTTCGTCAGCCTCCCGAGGAGCTGGGATTACAGGCGTTCGCCACCACACCTGGCTAATTTTTTTATTTTTAGTAGAGATGAGGTTTCGCCATGTTGGCCAGGCTGGTCTCCAACTCCTGATCTCAGGTGATCCACCTGCCTCGGCCTCCCAAAGTGCTGGGATTACAGGCGTGAGCCACCGCGCCCAGCTGGGGCTAGTTAGATTTACGATGCCTATTAATACATCCAAGTGGAGATATCAGTAGGCAGTTGGATATACAAGTCGAGATAGAAATGTGAGAGTTAAAATTATATAGAATCTGTATCTTACTGGTTTCTAAACCCACGAGACTAGACAAAATCAGCTAGGAAACAGGTGTAGACAGAAGAAAGATCCTGGCCGGGCACGGTGGCTCAAGCCTGTAATCCCAGCACTTTGGGAGGCCGAGACGGGCGGATCACGAGGTCAGGAGATCGAGACCATCCTGGCTAACACAGTGAAACCCCGTCTCTACTAAAAAATACAAAAAACTAGCCGGACGAGGTGGCGGGTGCCTGTAGTCCCAGCTGCTCGGGAGGCTGAGGCAGGAGAATGGCGTAAACCCGGGAGGCGGAGCTTGCAGTGAGCTGAGATCCGGCCACTGCACTCCAGCCTGGGCGACAGAGCGAGACTCCATCTCAAAAAAAAAAAAAAAACCAAAAAAAGAAAGGTCCTGAGACAGAGTCCTGGGGCAACCCAATCATTTAGAATTTGAGAGGAGAGGAAGAACCAGCAAAGGAGATATGGGAGAAGTTAGCCAGAGACTAGCAAAGTATGTCCTAGAGGCAAAGTAAAGAGTGTTTCGGCCGGGCGCGGTGGCTCAAGCCTGTAATCCCAGCACTTTGGGAGGCCGAGACGGGCGGATCACGAGGTCAGGAGATCGAGACCATCCTGGCTAACACAGTGAAACCCCGTCTCTACTAAAAATACAAAAAAAAACTTAGCCGGGTGAGGTGGCAGGCGCCTGTAGTCCCAGCTACTCGGGAGGCTGAGGCAGGAGAATGGCGTGAACCCGGGAGGCGGAGCTTGCAGTGAGCTGAGATCCGGCCACTGCACTCCAGCCTGGGTGACAGAGCGAGACTCCGTCTCAAAAAAAAAAAAAAAAAAAAAAAGAAAGTGTTTCAAGGAAGAAGAGGCCGGGCGCAGTGGCTCATGCCTGTAATCCCACCTCCTCGGGAGGCTGAGGTGGCATGAACAGTTTTGGTGGCATGCCTGGGGAGGGTGCAGCTTGGTTGGAGCAGGTTTAAGAAAAGCTAGCAGGAGAGAAATATAGGTAACTCTTGCAAGGAGTTTTGCTTGAGGAGAAGGGAAGACATAATGGATCTTAGCTGATGAGGGAAATTTTAACTTCTTGGTGAAATCGTGGACATACCTAAGGGTCATTGCCTGAGGCTGGGGGTCTGAGATGGGGGGGTGGGGGGAGATGAGAAGCTCAGTAAAGGGTTAATGTGGAGACAAGATCTCCATTCCTTACTCACCTTCTTCCTTCCTTCAGCCTGTGGCATTAGCAAGCCACTGCCCAGAGGTGTTCTCGTTTAATGAAAGCCATTGAAATTTGTTTTACTGTTATTGGGCTCTTTTATCATGGTTTTAATTCATTTGTTTATTTAACATTATTATTATTATTATTTAAAGACAGGGTCTCACTCTGTCACCCAGGCCAGAGCACAGTGGTGCAATCATAGCTCACTGCAGCCTCGACTTCCTGGACTCAAGCAATCCTCTCACCTTGGCCTCCTAAGGAGCTGGGACTACAGGCACACACCACCATACTCAGCTAGTTTGTAAACATTTTTTGTAGAGATGGCATCTTGCTGTGTGGCCCAGGCTAGTCTTGAACCCCTGACCTCAAGTGATCCTCCTGTCTCGGCCTCCCAAAGTGCTGGTATGACAGGCATGAGCCACCATGCCCACCGAGCCACATAATGGCTATTGTGATTGCTAAGGTTTGCTTCTCATTGAAATATTCAGCACAATTTGGAGTCTTTCACTACCAAGGTTGCTGCTCTCTTCATCCAAATGAATTCTTTTACCCCATTTGTCAGCTTTCTTTGAGGTCCAACTTTGTTCTCTAAAACCAGCCAGGGCATGCTTTTCCCTCACCAGCTCTGAATTCTTCCAGGCTAGGCAACTGGAAAAGCCTGGGCTTAGAAACTGCTTTGTTGGCTTAAGGCCCAGCTGAGCTGACCAAAATAGCCAACAGAAAGACTGTTTGCACAGTGTGAAATTCCTCCAGGGGAAATACCATAGCAAAAGGCCAAGAAAGCCAGAGCCACGATGGCAGGAACCCACAGGCAAAAAAAGCCGTTACCCCCAAGGCCTGGGTTGTGGAGATGGAGCCAAGTTCTCTCCAGAAGGAAAAGCTTCCTAAAGCCTACTGTTGTGGTATTTCTGTAGGCGCCCTTTCTCATTTGCTGGGTCTCAAGAGTAGCATTCTCAGTGAAAGGACCGGTCGAACAGCCTGAAGCCTGGTGGCCAGGGCTCAGAGGTCTCTCTTCCTGTTACGTGCTCTCCCCAAGTCAGGCCTAGAAAGACCTGTGAGACAGGGACACACTCCCAGCTCTGTTGGTGGGACAGTGTGGAAGTGTGCCTGGAGTATGCACTGGCAGGCAGCAGGGTCACCTGCCCCAGACTTGAGGTGGGAGGAGGTCAGGAGAGGCTTTCCCTGAGTAAGAGTATAAATGAGCTCTGAAGGACAGGAGCTGACCAGGCAAATGGGAGAGAGTGTGCTTCAGGCCCCAAGTGAGACAGGGTGGCATGTTTTAATTCCAGAAATGAAAAGCTGAAGTGTGTGTTGGGAGAGGTGGAAGGGCAAGAGGTCAGGGGGGTGGACCAGGGAGGGACAGCTTGTTCTGGCCTTTATAAGTTTATCACAACAGCATCAGGGAACAATTGAGGGGGTTAATTAGGAGAGTAGCTGGATGGGATTTGCACTTTAAAAAGAGCCTTCTGACCAAATTGTGGAGGCTGGCTAAGGGGGAGGCCAGAGGCCAGGAAGCAGTTTTGGAGGCCGTGGGCAATATCTCAGGTGGATCATGGTGATGAGGATGGGGAGCCTGGGTACACTACAGGGAGGTTTGTCTATGAAGTGGAGTCATGAGGACTTGATGATTGGTTGGCAGTGAGGGGGATACTCAGGTTTTGTCCTGATTGGAGATACCAGAAGAGAGGCTGCTTTAACCCAGGGTATTCATACAGCCCATAGGCACTGAAGGTGGCCGTGAGCCATGTGCCGGGCTTGGTGTCTACAGTTCAGTGGTGCAAACAGACATGGCCCACCCTGGGGAGCCCTTGCATACATCGGGCTCACGATTAGTTAATGGGTAGTGAGTGTTCCCAAAGGAGTTAACCTCGTCTCAGGGGTCCAGAAAGGCCACTCTGAGGAAATGGCATGCCTGTTACATAATGGCTCTTAAATTATGCTGGGAAAGTCAAACAGCCAGAGACCTGAAGGGTGAGGTCTTAGCTAGTGAAGAGAACAGAAAGAGTTGTAAGCAAGGAAAGACAGCTGCAGAGATGAAAGTTTTTCAAGGATCTGGAAGAAGGCCTGTGGTGGCTGAGGGTAAGAAAGCTGGAGAAAAGGGCCGGGCGCGGTGGCTCAAGCCTGTAATCCCAGCACTTTGGGAGGCCGAGACGGGCGGAGCACGAGGTCAGGAGATCGAGACCATCCTGGCTAACACGGTGAAACCCCGTCTCTACTAAAAAATACAAAAAACTAGCCGGGCGCAGTGGCGGGCGCCTGTAGTCCCCGGTACTCGGGAGGCTGAGGCAGGAGAATGGCGTGAACCCGGGAGGCGGAGCTCGCAGTGAGCTGAGATCCGGCCACTGCACTCCAGCCTGGGTGGCAGAGCGAGACTCCGTCTCAAAAAAAAAAAAAAAAAAGGAAAGCTGGAGAAAGAATGGGCAAAACTGACAGCTCAATATTCCAAGTGTCTGTGGCCAGCCCTAGTGGAAGACGCACAGAGGGCTGGATGTACAGGTCTAACACGTGGAGCAGAGATCTGGACCAGACACAGGCCTATGAGTTGCCAGCCTGTGGAAGGTACGTAAAGCCATGCGAATAGGCATGGTCACCCAGGGAAAGGGTGCTGGGTGAGGAGAAAGGACAGATGTTGGGGAACATCAGTATTTAAGGGGTGGCAAGGCCGGGCGCGGTGGCTCAAGCCTGTAATCCCAGCACTTTGGGAGGCCGAGACGGGCGGATCACGAGGTCAGGAGATCGAGACCATCCTGGCTAACACAGTGAAACCCCGTCTCTACTAAAAAAATACAAAAAAACTAGCCAGGCGAGGTGGTGGGCGCCTATAGTCCCAGCTACTCAGGAGGCTGAGGCAGGAGAATGGCGTGAACCCGGGAGGCGGAGCTTGCAGTGAGCAGAGATCCATCCAGCCACTGCACTCCAGCCTGGGCGACAGAGCCAGACTCCGTCTCAAAAAAAAAAAAAAAAAAAAAAAAGGGGTGGCAAAGGAAGAGAAGCCCACAAGGGGAAGAGGTGGCAGGAGAGGTGGGAGAATATCCATGGGAATTTCGAGGAGGAGGCACTCATTGGAGGGGCTGCTGGATTGAGCAGCAAGGAGGTCGCTGGCGACCTGGGCAGGTGCAGCATGAGCACAGTGCCAGGGTAGACGTCCTAATGCTGCCGGGAAATGAGTAAGTAGGGAAGGAGGGAGGGGACAGCAGGGTGCCAGCAGTTTTTCTACCAAGTTTGGCTAAGGGGGTAAGAAGTGAGGCTGTGCTGGAGGGAACAGGAGGTAGAGGCGGATGATCAGTAGTACATCAAGAGTCCAGAAACTCGGGATGCTTTTCTGCTGGTTTTGGAATTAAATTGGTTTCCAATATGGGAAAGAAATGTTGTGTGTGGTCCCTTCAGGCACCTGCAACCCCATCCCTACCCCATGCTGCCTTCAAACCTTGTTTGATGCCCCTGCAGTTTTCCTTGGAGCCTAAGAGAGGTACTATTGCTTGTATAGTAAATCATTGTAAAACTTCACCAGCCTCGGGACTCTTGGGAAAGTTTTAGCCAACCTAACTTAATGAAAAGTCTGAATGATATAACTTGGAAAGCAGTGCAGCTTTTTCTTTTCAAGAATATGCACTAATCCCACTTACCTATGTTGTTAGGTGTCGGTTTCAGTGACTGGATGTAAACTACTGTTAAAAGCAAGTGGCACTATTAAAATAGCGGAAGTGATATAAAACAATTATTCTTACTAAGAGTCCTTTTGCAATCTTCAAACACCATTTAGGCTCGCTTTAAATAGTATGAAAGAGGCCGGGCGCCTTGGCTCATGTCTGTAATCCCAGCACTTTGGGAGGCCGAGGCGGGTGGATCACGAGGTCAGGAGATCGAGACCATCCTGGCTGACACGGTGAAACCCCGTCTCTACTAAAAATACAAAAAATAGCCGGGCGTGGTGGTGGATGCCTGTAATCCCAGCTACTCGGGAGGCTGAGGCAGGAGAATGGCGTGAACCCGGGAGGCAGAGCTTGGAGTGAGCCGAGATCGTGCCACTGAACTCCAGCCTGGGTGACAGAGCGAGACTCCGTCTCAAAAAAAAAAACAAGAACAATAACAAAAAAATAGTATGAAAGAAAAGTTAAGCACAATTTATGTCCAAATTGTATATTTTAAATGTAAGGTTCCAAATTCATGAGGCTCTAAAGTGCCTTTGATCATAGCCTTACAATTAGGTATCTATGCTACCTCTTCTTAACCACTTTTCATTTCCAAACATCAGTGGGAAATGCCTCTCTTCTCCTTTTCATGGTTAATTCCAGGAGGTTAATTCTGTAGTGGCAGGGAGATCGGTCTCTCTTTTGGTTGCCCAGGTCTGCAGCCTGTGGCCATAAAGCTCTGAGTGACACTAGGGAAGATACTTGCAAACGTTGGTTTGAGATCTATAGGAGCATTTCAGGAACCAGCTGGGAAGGAAAATGAAACAAGCTGAAATGGTGCAACGTCGAGCACCAGCAGTCTGCAGCTTCAGTAGATTCTGCTTTAACCTCCTAACTGAAGAATCACTCAGAACCCAGCCCAGTGTCCAAACAGTTTGAGTCCAGGGTAATAAGGACTACAGAGAAGGGAGAGAGGCAGATGATGAAGAAACACTAGGCCAGTTTTTATTTTGTCTCATTTCATTTACACTCTGCACGGATCCTATGGCCCTTCTGTTTTATAATAGAGGATGTCTAAGAGAGTCATTCACTAATTTTAGCTAAGCAAACCTGAGCCCTGGGGGAGCCTCCTGGGAGAGCCATTGCCTTCCTTTGCAGTTCTGCCAGCAACAAACTCATCTTGTATTTTTATCAGCAACATGGTCTGAGGAGTCTAAAAATCTTTTTTTAAAAAAACTTATTTTAAATCACTGTACTTTCTTCCAGTGAATAAAAATCTTTTTTTTTTTTTTGAGACGGAGTCTTGCTCTTGTCGCTCAGGTGGACTACAGTGGCACGAACTTGGCTCACTGCAACGTCCGCCTCCCGGGTTCAAGTGATTCCCCTGCCTCAGCCTCCTGAGTAGTTGGGGTTACAGGTGTGCACCACCATGCCCAGCTAATTTTTGTAGTTTTAGTAGAGACGGAGTTTCCCCATGTTGGCCGGGCTGGTCTCGAATTCCTAAGCTCAGGTGATCCGCCTGCCTTGGCCTCCCAGAGTGCTGGGATTATAGGCATGAGCCACTGCACCCGGCTGTGAATAAAACTCTTAAAGATCATTTGGTCCAACTTTCCACCCCATCTCAACATCCTGACTCCAGCAGGGACACATGTCCTGCCTCTGGTTAAGTGATTCCAGAGAAGGGAGAACATAGTACCTCGGAAGGCAACTGATTTTCATCTTTGCAAAGTTCTCTCTTGTGTTAACTAAAATCTACCTCAAAATGTCCACACAGGAGTCTTGGTTCTACCCTTTGAACCCATGTCCCCACTCTGGCACCCTGGCCACAACCATTGCTGCTGTCTTCTGAACAAGCTCCAGCTGAAAATCCCCCTTTTAAAATGTCCCTCAGAACAGAATCTGATGCTCCAGATGTGGCCCAAGTGTGCAGACTACAGGAGGATATTATTTTTTTGTTCTATAACTGAACTTTTAGAAATGCAATCCAAGATTGCAGTAGCCTTTTTGGCAGCCATATCTAGATTGTGCTGGCCCCCATTCAGCTTAAAGTCAAAAACCTCTGGGGCTTTTCCACGTGGCACTATTAGGCTCTTTCTTCCCTCTATGCATGTGATTGGCTTTTTAACCTAAGTGGAGGACTTACTCAACTTTTTTATTTTTTTTAATATACAGAAAAGGTTTCACCATGTTGCCCAGGCTGGTCTCAAACATCTGAGCTCAAGAGATCTGCTCACGTTGGCCTCCCAGAGTGCTGGGATTACAGGCGTGAGCCACCACATCTGGCCAAGACTTCTTAAACTTTAAAGCCTATATAGCCTTTAAACCCTTGATGCTGTCATATAAATTATTAGAGCCTCACAGAAATCCTAGAAGGATGACATTACCTTTGTTTTACAGAGGGCACTGGAGGAGGCTAAGAGGGACCATCCCACTAATGAACCACACAGTCAGAATCTCATTTAGGTATGGAGCCTGATGTTCTTAAACATTGTACCTACCAGTTTTTTAAGATGTCCTTGAACCCTATTACCGATACCCATTGTGTTTACAATCCTTCTCACTTTTGTGACATCTGCAGGTTTTTTTTGTTTGTTTGTTTTTTGATACCGAGTCTTGCTCTGTTACCCAGGCGGGAGTGCAGTGGCATGATCTCGGCTCACTGCAACCTCCACCTCCAAGGTTCAAGCAATTCTCCTGCTTCAGCCTCCCAGGTAGCTGGGACTGCAGGCATGTGCCACCACACCTGGCTAATTTTTTTGTATTTTTAGTAGAGACAGGATTTCACCATGTTGGCCAGGCTGGTAAGAACTCCTGACCTCAAATGATCCACCTACCTCAACCTCCCAAAGTGCTAGGATTACAGGCCCGCCAACATCCGCAAGTTTTACTTGTCATCTAGATCTTTGCCGAACTTGGGTGGTGAATACCATTCTAAAGCCTAAGTTTTCCAGCCTGTAGGGCACAAAACCAATTTAGTGGGTCGCAGCCAGCATTTAAAAAATTGAAATAGAATAGAAAAATATCACAGTCTATCACATGTAATAAGAGAGTTTTGTTTCAGGAAACTTTCATTGCGTGAGCATGTGACAGGAATGTGTGGTGTATGTATGCATATGGTGGGTCTTGGTGCAAATTGTTTTTGTAACTGTGGTTTGTGGTCTGATAGTTTGAACACCACCACTCTAAAGGCAAAATGGTTTGGGGTTGGCTTAGATTATTTTCATTACAATATTACAACTTAATTTTGTATGAACATGAATCTGTATGTCAGCTCACCGATCTAGCTCCTGTAAAGTTCACATATGTAACTACAAAAAAAGCCAGTAAAATTCAAATTATCAGCATCATTCTGAGATGGTGATGTTTGACTGAACCCAAATCATTGCTTTTCCTTGTAAGCACGGCACAGACTTGACACTTAGGCTCCTTGAGTTCTGCACACACATCCTGTAGCGTGTCAGTCAGGGTGACACAGTCTTCCCACTGCTTCTGAAGTTATGTCATCTTTCACTTTGCACAGATGTATTGTGAACTAAATGTGCAGAATGAAGTTGTCCTAATTAGCCCACACAGTGCACTTGTAAACACACAGGCCCTGAAATGTGCAGGACTTGGTTATGCAGCAGTTATCTGGTGATCTATGATATATGTTCATTTTTAAAAAGATGACTGGGCTGGGCGTGGCGGTTCATGCCTGTAATCCCAGGACTTTCAGAGGCTGAAGCAATGGGATTGCTTGAGTCCAGGAGTTCGAGAAAAGACTGGGCAACATGGTGAAACCCCGTCTCTAGAAAATATATAAAAATTAGCCGGGTGTGGTGGTGTGCACCAGTGATCCCAGCTACTTGAGGGGCTGAAGTGGGAGGATCACATGAGCCCAGGAGGCAGAGGTTCAGTGAGCTGAGATCATGCCACTGCTCTCCAGCCAGGGTGATAGAGTAAGACCTTGTTTCTACATAAATATAAACAAACAAATAAAAATCTTTGTTGTGGCTGGTCACGGTGACTCATGCCTGTAATCCCAGCACTTTGGGAGGCCAAGGTGGGTGGATCACTTGAGGTCAGGAATTTGAGAGCAGCCTGGTTAACAAGGCAAAACCCCGTCTCTACTAAAAATACTAAAAGATCAGCCAGGCGCGGTGGCTCACGCCTGTAATCCCAGTACTTTGGGAGACCGAGGCGGGTGGATCATGAGGTCAGGAGATCAAGACCATCCTGGCTAACATGATAAAACCCCGTCTCTACTAAAAATACAAAAAATTAGCCGGGCATAGTGGCAGGCACCTGTAATCCCAGCTACTGGGGAGGCTGAGGCAGGAGAATGGCGTGAACCCGGGAGGTGGAGCTTGCAGTGAGCAGAGGTGGCACCACTGCACTCCAGCCTGGGCAACAGAGTGAGACTCCGTCTCAAAAAGAAAGAAAAAAAAATCATCACAGTGAAAACATAAGAAAAGAATAAAAATGCCTCTGTGGAGATGCCTGTGAACCCTGGTCCTGAGACCCACCCCAGTTCGAGACACCTTGCAGCAGCAGACTTCTCAGCACTTAGGTGGAGGCATGCTCAGTTTAGCCCCAAACTAGACTATCATATTGCTCAAGTTTCCTCCCTGTTTGTTCACAAGAATATTATGAAAATGTCAGCCAGATGCCTATTGAAATAAAATCCCTGGTGTATACCATGCTCTTGATGTATCCTTCCAAAACCCTATAAAAAGAAACAGATTTGTTCAGCATGACCTGTTCTTCTATATTATAATGCTGTTCCTTGTGGTCACTCCTTCCTTTCCTCAGTAGTTACAGTACTATTCAATCATTTGTTCTAGGATTTTGCCAAGGATCAGTGCCTGTAATATTACAGGATCTGCATATATAATTTTGCCCAGAGCTGCCCTCTGGCTCCACACACATTTGCAGTTGTGTCTGCAAAGTCTCCCCCTCTGGAGTACAGTTTGTGTGAACTTCAGTCCTGGTAACCATTTAAGGCACTGGTGTGCTTTCTTACCAGCTCATCACCTATCCAGGGCTTCAGTTTCCACTTCATCTTTTTTTTTTTTTTTTTAAATGGAGATGGGGTCTTGCTCCATCACCCAGGCTGGAGTGCAGTGATGTGATCACGGCTCACTCTAGCCTCGACCTCCCAGGTTCAAGTGATCCTCCCACCTCAGCCTTCTGAGTAACTGGGACCACAGGCATGTGCCACCATGTGTGGCTAATTTTTAAATTTTTTGTAGAGACAGGGTTTCCCTTTGTTGCCCAGGCTGGTCTCCAATTCCTGGCCTCAAGCAATCCTCCCACTTCGCCTTCCCGAAGTTTTGGAATTAAAGGCATGAGTCACTGCGTCCAGTGCCTTCACCTTTTCTTTACCTTTCCCCATTTAAGAATTGTTCTTCCAGAGAAGCTTTCCCAGTGTCTATCCTCTGTTTGTCTGTTTGTTTGTTTTAGAGACAGTCTCACTCTTGCCCAGGCTGGAGTGCAGTGGTGCGATCTCAGCTCACTGCAACCTCCATCTCCTGGGTTCAAATGATTCTGCCTCATCTTCCCGTTTAGCTGGGATTACAGGTACCTGCCATCACGCCTGGCTAATTTTTTGTATGTTTAGTAGAGATGGGGTTTCACCATGCTGCCCTGGCTGGTCTCTAACTCCTGAGCTCAGTCTGCCTGCCTCAGCCTCCCAAAATGCTAGGATTACAGGCGTGAACCACCACACCCAGCCCAATATCTGTCCTCTTTTTGCCAAATTCCTTACAAGGACTCAACCCCTGAGCCTTTTTGTTTGTTTTATTAAGAGATGGGGTCTTGCTATGTTGCCCAGGCAGGAGTGTTTTGTCTATTCACAGGTATGATAATAGGGCACTGCAGCCTCAAATTCCTGGCCTTGAGTGACCCTTCCGTCTCAAGGCCTTCCAAGCAGAATGCACCCTGAGCCTTTTTGTCTCTTTGAGTCTTCAAAGTAATACCCCTCTTATTTCTGTACTTAGTGAAATCTGCTTTCCAAAGGTCCAGGATCGAAATCTGATTCTGCCTGGTATTCTTTTTTTTTTTTTTTGAGACGGAGTCTCGCTCTGCCGCCCAGGCTGGAGTGCAGTGGCCGGATCTCAGCTCACTGCAAGCTCCGCCTCCCGGGTTCCCGCCATTCTCCTGCCTCAGCCTCCCGAGTAGCTGGGATTACAGGCGCCCGCCACCTCGCCCGGCTAGTTTTTTGTATTTTTTTAGTAGAGACGGGGTTTCACCGTGTCAGCCAGGATGGTCTCGATCTCCTGACCTCGTGATCCGCCCGTCTCGGCCTCCCAAAGTGCTGGTATTACAGGCTTGAGCCACCGCGCCCGGCCCCTGGTATTCTTTTCTTTAGTGATTTATGAACTTTAAGATGGCATAGATTCTTTCTCCTAAAATTCTCATGACTTTCATTTTCCTGATCTTGTTTTTCTTTCTTTTTAAAAAATTTTTATTAGGGACAGGGTCTAACTGTGTTGCTTAGGCTGGTCTTGAACTCCTGGGCTCAAGCGATCCTCCCACCTTGGCTTCCCAAAGTGCTGGGATTACATGCATGGGCTACTGTACCTGGCCTCTTTTAGATGACTTAAGTGCACAGTAGAGAGTCCCTTCATTACTTCCTCAACTATATTTTTCTTTATTTAAGAAAAAAAGTACAGTAGAATATATTTATCATGGGAAAATGAAAAAGTACAGAAAAACAAGGTGCAAAATAAATTTAAGTCAAACAAAACTCAACCACTAGGAGATAATGGCTTAAGACTTTTTCCTATTTGGTTATATTCATGTATAGAAATATATACACATTTAAACAAAAATAGAATTTACTCTGTTTTCATTCTCCTTGTTATATCCAGTTAGTCATTAGCTCTACCGAGTCTCGGTTGATGCCTGTGGGGCCATGCCTATTGTACTATGTAAAAAGTGTAAATTCACGTAAATAATTGACCCATGAGGCCGGGCGCAGTGGTTCACACCTGTAATCCCAGCACTTGGGAGGCCGAGGCAGGTGGATCGCCTGAGGTCAGGAGTTTGAGAACAGCCTGACCAACATGGTGAAACCCTGTCTCTCTTAAAAATACAAAAATTGGCCAGGCATGGTGGCATATGCCTGTAATCCCAACTACTCAGGAGACTGAGACAGGAGAATCGCTTGAACCTGGGAGGTGGAGGTTACAGTGAGCCAAGATCGCACCATTGCACTCCAGCCTGGGCAACAAGAGTGAAACTCCTTCTCAAAAAAAAAAAAAAAAAAGAATTGACCCATGTGCTGTATATGCTGCCTGGGGACAACAGCCTTTGTGGTGAAGGCTGAGCATAAAACACCCAAGATTTGGGAATGGAGCAGGTGTGTCCTCCTTGTCCGAAAAACTGACTGAGCGATACTTCCCTCTCAGTTTTGGCATCTGTCTACAGCAGGAGTGAACAGGAGGCTTGAGTTTGAGCTAGAGGATTAGCTGGGGAGCTACCCTTGCCCACCATAGAGGAGTTCCAGTTTAGCTATGGAGAGCCAGCAGTGCCCATCAGAGAGGGCATAGCTGAGTTACAGAAGAGAGTCCTGGTATAGTCTTGGTTATTTTTGTGTTATCTGGACTCTGTGGTGGCTGGAGGGGGCAGTCCAACGACAGCAGGACCAGCTGTCCTCACAGCCTCAGATGGCTGAGTCTGAGGAGAGGAGAAAGTAATCTACTGAAATAGATGTAAGGCTGTCAACCCAGGGTGGGGAAGTCTGGGGAAAAGTCTTTAACTTCCCTTGGAGAAGCAGCAACAAATAGAGGCAAAAAGAAAATATGGCTAGGTGTGGTGGCTCATGCTTGTAATCCCAGCACTTTGGGAAGCCAAGGCAGGTGAATCACCTGAAGTCAGGAGTTCGAGACCAGCCTGGACAACATCGTGAAACCCCATCTCTACTGAAAATACAAAAATTAGCTGGGCATGGTGGTGGCACCTGTAATCCCAGCTACTCAGAAGGCTGAAGCAGGAGAATTGCTTGAATCTAGAAGGGGGAGGTTGCCATGAGCCGAGATCACACCACTGCACTCCAGCCTGGACAACAAGAGCAAAAACTCCGTCTCAAAGAAAAGAAAGAAAATCTGAGGCAAGTGGGCTTGCGTTCTTTTTGGGCATCTTATACATTACTCCATCTCTTTTCTTCCAACAGATCCACAGACCAGCATGGCTGCCACTGCTGCTGTCAGTCCCAGTGACTACCTGCAGCCTGCTGCCTCCACCACACAGGCGAGTAGGCACTGGGCTCCGAGGGCTTGGGGCTGCAGCATCCTGGACAGACTCACCGAAAACACTTTATCTTCACTGTCTCACTATAAATACCCTAGGTTATGAGACTGGGGAAGGTTCAGTTAGCCACATTTTCTTTACTGAGAAACCATGGCCATTTACCTAAGGTGCCACAGTTGGGCTGCCGGAAAAACAAGGATTAAACTCTGTGTTCCTTCCACCAGACCTCACTAAAAAAGGAAAAGGAAAACAGAGGCTCTCTCATTGTCTTGAAAGTGTAGCCCAATCTATAAAGTTACATGTTCTGAGTACTAAAAAGCCCTTTACTGAAGTATTTATTCCTCCTGTTGCCCCTCCATTTCTTTTTTCCTCCCTCATTTCCTCAGTTGAGCAATCAGGGACCCCTCAGTCCCTGGGGTGGGCTAACAAAACTCCATCTAAGAGCCAAACATGCTTCACTGTCCTTAGAAACAAGGCCAGTGGGAAGTAGGAAGTCAGCTCACATTGTTAGTTTACCCTGTCTGTGGGGTGCAGCCAGGGATTCCTTCCTGAGAAAGACACTGTCCACCTTTTCTCCCTCACTTAATGGAGAAACCAGTAGAGAAGGGGAGACAGCAGCCAAGCAGGGGAGGGTGCTGGCAACATGCCTGCCACGGAGGTGGGGAAGAGTGGCGTGGAATACCGCCAAGAAGAGAAGATCATGGACAGAGGCGGCTGGGCAGCGGGCCTTCCTGTCTCATTCCTTTTCTCTGCTGTTTTTTTGCAGGACTCCCAGCCATCTCCCTTAGCCCTGCTTGCTGCAACATGTAGCAAAATTGGCCCTCCAGCAGTTGAAGCTGCTGTGACACCTCCTGCTCCCCCACAGCCCACACCGCGGAAACTTGTCCCTATCAAACCTGCCCCTCTCCCTCTCAGCCCCGGCAAGAATAGCTTTGGAATCTTGTCCTCCAAAGGAAATGTACTTCAGATTCAGGGGTCACAACTGAGCGCCTCCTATCCTGGAGGGCAGCTGGTGTTTGCTATCCAGAATCCCACCATGATCAACAAAGGGACCCGATCAAATGCCAATATCCAGTACCAGGCAGTCCCTCAGATTCAGGCAAGCAGTTCCCAAACCATCCAAGTACAGCCCAATCTCACCAACCAGATCCAGATCATCCCTGGCACCAACCAAGCCATCATCACCCCCTCACCGTCCAGTCACAAGCCTGTCCCCATCAAGCCAGCCCCCATCCAGAAGTCAAGTACGACCACCACCCCCGTGCAGAGTGGGGCCAATGTGGTGAAGTTGACAGGTGGGGGCGGCAATGTGACGCTCACTCTGCCTGTCAACAACCTCGTGAACGCCAGTGACACCGGGGCCCCCACTCAGCTCCTCACTGAAAGCCCCCCAACCCCACTGTCTAAGACTAACAAGAAAGCAAGGAAGAAGAGCCTTCCTGCCTCCCAGCCTCCTGTGGCTGTGGCTGAGCAGGTGGAGACGGTGCTGATCGAGACCACCGCGGACAACATCATCCAAGCAGGAAATAACCTGCTCATTGTTCAGAGCCCTGGGGGGGGCCAGCCAGCTGTGGTCCAGCAGGTCCAGGTGGTGCCCCCCAAGGCCGAGCAGCAGCAGGTGGTGCAGATCCCCCAGCAGGCTCTGCGGGTGGTGCAGGCGGCATCTGCCACCCTCCCCACTGTCCCCCAGAAGCCCTCCCAGAACTTTCAGATCCAGGCAGCTGAGCCGACACCTACTCAGGTACCACACTCCCTGTACTGTCCTCCTCCTCCTCTGGTTATGTCTTTTTGGCTTGCTCTGAAGATGATGCTGATCATCTCCCAGCTTAATCTGACCTTTGAGAGTCAGTATCTTTTGGGGTGGGCAGTAAGTGGCCGTTTCTACCTGACCAATGGGCTCTCTTTAGTTCATAGGGCCAAGTACTGCTTATCTTTAGAAATTAGATGAAACATAGGGATATTTTGGCCCTTTTTCTTTATGGGTTTTTTTTCAGGGGATGGAAAGGGGACAGATACATACTTTTTAATAACACTTATTTTTGATTATAGAATTACATACTCAAAACATTAACAAGAATGAAAACATTCCAGTCCATAGAATTTTATGTAAAGTAAGAAAATTAATGAGAAAAATGCTGATCATTATTAATGACAAGATAAAAACAGGAAGAGCAGCCTAGCTTTATAGCAGGAATATTTCGGCTAGATTCATCTGGAATGTTTGTTTGTTTTAGGGTGTTTTTTTTTGAGATAGGGTCTTACTCGGTTGTCCTGGCTGGAGTGCAGTGATGTGATCATTACAGTCTCAATCTCCTGGGCTCAAGCAATCCTCCCACCTCAGCCTGAGTAGCCAGGACTACAGGTGTATGCCACCATGCCAGGCTGAGCCACTGCTTCCTGCCAAACTGGGATGCTGAATCCAACAAGAATGTTCTTATTTTTGGCATTTATTAATGTGCTCTAATACTCTGGAATCTCTTTGGCTCTGTGAGGCAAGTTTTATTCTTTGTGCATGCCTACTAAGTGCCAGTAATTGTGCCCATGTTGCAGATGGAGAACCCAGAACTCAGATCATTTATGAAGTTTCCAGGATCAAATAGGGCACAAATGACAGGAACCAGGAGTCAGCTGAGATTTGTAACTTCAGACCCCACACTCTTCCATCTTCCACCTTGACTCTCGTGTCTTATGTGTAGCAGGTGCTACCATTAAAATTGGGGAGTTTTATTTTTTAATATATAAAAAAGTTCCTGCCATTGAGGAATTTATGACCTCGTTGTCTATAGAGGGAGAACCGAATGACTGAGAGTGGGAAGTTGTATCATTTCCCAGGTGGAGAAGACAGCCCTTGAATTTGAACTGTGGACACAGAAGTCACACAGGAATTCACCCTTCTGGCATCTTTTATGTTGCCAGGTGATTTTTTTTATAAGTCGTTTATCACAGTATCTGTGAATTCCCATGATCAGACCTACCTGACGGGTGAAGAATTGTGGCACCTGCTCAGGAGCACATCCTCGGCATTGCCTCCCTCCCTTCCATGAGGTTCCATATCTTGAGGTTGATGGGACAGGACTTAATCCCAGGTCTTCCCTAAGGAAATAATGATGCATATGCAGAAAGATTTAGCTACAGCATTATTTTTTCATACTACACAGCTTTATATCATCCCAACATGCGGATTATTATACAACTGATACCTTGTTAACTGTATATATCTAAGCTGTTTCCAATCTTATAGCTAAATAAATCCCTAAAAGTGGGTCAAGGACACATACATTTTTTAAAAATTTGTATTCTATATTAGAGGTTTGCAGTCTGTGACCAACTTTCAAGCCAAATCTAGCCCAGCCACCTGTTTTTGTAAAAAAAGTTTAACTGGAGTGCAGACACGTCCATTTGTGTTGCCCTTGCACAACAGTAGTAGCAGAGTTAAGAAGCAGAGACAATATGCCCCACAAAGCCTAAAATATTTACTCTCCGGCCCTTTATAAAAAAAGCTTGCTGAACCTTCAGATGCAAATACACATACGCATGCATGCATACGCACATATACACACAAAATCAGACAAAAAATATCAGTGATTTGAAAAAGGGGCACATATCAGAAAACTGGGAATGAGATTTGCATATTTACTAAGAAATGGGCCAAGTGAGGTAGTTTATGCCTGTAATCCCAGCACTTTGGGAGGCTGAGGCTAGAGATCGCTTGAACCCAGGAATTCAAGACCAGCCTGGGAAAGATAGCAAGACCCCATCTCTACAAAAAATTAAAAAATTAGGCATGGTGGTGCACATCTGTAATCCCAGCTATTCGGGAGGCTGAGGTGGGAGGATCACTTGAACCCGTGGGTTTGAGGCTGCAGTGAACTATGATCATTCCACTGCATTTTAGCCTGGGTGACAGAGACCCTGTCTCTATAAAAAAAAAAAAAAAAAAAAAAAAAAAAATTTAAGAGATGAGATGTTTATTAGTGTTTAAGTGAGAAGAAGCACAGTCATAAATAATCCAGGAATTAAAAATAACCCCAATCAAAATCACAGCAGGATTTTTTTTTTACAAAGAACTTTTTTCCTTTTGACTCATTTGAGTGTAAATTGCCACCATGATCCTCCATGTCACCATGATTGTCACTTCTGAATGCTTTAATTCCTACACACAAGGACATTCTACATTACCACAATACAATTGTCAAACCCAGAAAATTAGCAATGAAACACACTACTAATTCCAAGACCCCACTCTGTTTTCACCACTTGCCCCACTAATTCCTTTGTGGCAAAAGGATCTGATCCAGTATTACACATTACGTTTAGTTGTCTCCTTAGCCTCTTTTGATCTGAAACACTTCCTCATTCTTTTTATTTTATTTTATTTTATTTTTTTGAGTCTTGCTCTGTCATCCAGGCTGGAGTGCAGTGGCGCCATCTCAGCTCACTGAAACTTCTGCCTCCTGGGTTCAAGCAGTTCTCCTGCTTCAGCCTCTCGAGTAGCTGAGACTACAGGCGAGTGCCACCACGCCCAGATGGTTTTTTGTATTTTTAGTAGAGACACGGTTTCACCATGTTAGCCAGGATGGTGACTTCGTGATCCGCCCACCTCAGCCTCACAAAGTGCTGGGATTACAGGCGTGAGCCACCACACCCGGCCAATTTTTGTATTTTTTTAATAGAGACGGGATTTTACCATCCTGGCCAGGCTGGTCTTGAACTCCTGACCTCGTGATCCATCCGCCTTGGCCTCCCAAAGTGCTGGGATTACAGGCGCGAGCCACCACACCCGGCCTTCAGGTCGGCTCTTATATCCCTTTAACAGGCTCTCATTCTTTTTTTTTTTTTTTTTAAATAAAATCAGCTTTATTGAGACATTCACATACTATGAAACTCACCCTTTTAAAGTATACAATTCAGTGATTTTTAGTATATTCACAGAGTTGTGCAGCCATTACCTCTATATAATTTTAGAACATTTTCATCACCCCAAAAAGAAACTCCCTTTAGCCATCACTCCCCATTTATTTCCTCCTCCTGCAGCAGCCCCTGGCAACTACTAGTCTATTTGTAATGTTTTCAAGGTTCATCCATGTTGTAGCATGTGTCTGGTGACTGGCTTGTTTCACTTAGCATAATGTTTCAAGGTTCATCCTGTTGTAGCATGTCTCTGAACTTCATTCCTTACATTTTCCCAACCTCAGCCTTAGGGTCAACCATTTCTTCTCAGATTCCTGGTTTCTCTCATTGAAGGATGTGATAGCCTCTTTTAATTCTGTCATCCTCTTCCTCCTCATTTATTTATTTACGTCATTATGGACTCACAGATTGCTGCTTTTTTTGTGTTTTGAGATGGAGTCTCACTCTTGTCACCCAGGCTGGAGTGCAGTGGCACAATCTCAACGCACTGCAACCTCCACCTCCCGGGTTCAAGCACTTCTCTTGCCTCAGCCTCTCCAGTAGCTGGAATTACAGGCGTGCGCCATCACTCCCACCTAATTTTTTTTTTTTTTTGCATTTTCAGTAGAGACAGGGTTTCACCAAGTTGACCAGGCTGGTATCAAACCACTGACCTCAAGTGATCTGCCTGCCTCTGCCTCCCACAGTGCTGGGATTATAGGCATGAGCTACCGCACCTGGCCAGATTCCTGTTTTTTTCACTGGGTTATAATCCGTAAAGATTATTTCGATGTTTTCATTGACCTAGATTTGGCCAGTGGGTTCCCCTTTAAGCTGGCTTATATCTTTTCAAGTCCCCACCATTCTGTAAGCATTCCTTTACTTTCTAGTACAAGTGTTCCAAGCTTTTCTTGTACCTTCCCTGCCCCAACCCTGGAATCAGCTATTTCTCCAAGGAGCCTGGATTCCTTTAAGTGGAGCATGTGAGTTACAAGCTAAGGCCTGGGTGCTAGGTAAGCTCATTGCTACTGGGCATGGCTGGTCCTAGCCCTTCTCAATGGACACAGCTAGGAAGTATGTATAAACAGACGTACCGAAGCAATGCCTACATGGATAGATGTAGATAAACTTATATAAGGACACACACAAATATATACACATACACATATACACACATTTGAATCTGTATTTCTTTGTCTGTATATATTGAAACCCATGAGTTTCCACCAATGTCTCTAATTCCCATCTAGCACCACAGCCTTCCGTCTAGCCTTCTCCCTTTCCGTAACTCCCTTCTGTGACAGTGAGAGCCCTCACTCCTATTATCCTTAACATACTTCCTTTCTGGATAAGTCCTAGGTATGCAGCCAGTCATTAGCTTTCCCATAGGGATACCCTCCTTATCCTGCCACCGCCATTCCCTACCCACCACGGACACCCTCCTCCCTGCTACAAATGCCCTCCTTGTCCCACTCAGCCTCTAACATGCATATTTTTAAGGTTTTTGATACATATTCCCAAATTTCCTTCCAGCAAGGTTAGCCCACATCATACTTCCACGCCTAATATACGAGTAAGTGCCTGTTTTCTGCTCTCTCACCAACAATGAGCATATTTTATTTTTCTCCAATCTGAATTGGAGAAAAGTTGTTTTTCATTAATATGTAGCTCTTTTTTCTTCTTCTTCTTCTGATTACAAAGACCAGAAACTTTTTTTTTTTGAGATAGCATCTTGCTCTGTCACCCAAGCTAAGTGCAGTAGAGGGATCATAGCTCACTATAACCTGGAATTCGTGGGCTGTAATATGTGGCTCTTAAAAACTAAAGTGAACCTGTGTCATTTGGTTGATGGTCATTCACAGTGCACTGCCTTCTAAATCTCCAATTCTGATTCTTGGCAATTATCTTTTTCCATGCTAAGTAAATTCAACATTTGATTTCAAATCAATAGTCAACATTCGCCAGCATAGTATAGGATGCCAGCAGCCCTTTGTTGAGCATTAGCTGTGTATAAATGTAGGTTTGGGTGAATTGAAGAGACTTTTAGCTGTCAGGCGCCCCCAGTTCTCACTTGGGCAGGGACATTTGAAAGCCCCAGGAACCCAGTCTTTTCCGGTCACTGACTTTTTTTCCTCTGGCCCCTCCCAGGTCTACATCCGCACGCCTTCCGGTGAGGTGCAGACAGTCCTTGTCCAGGACAGCCCCCCAGCAACAGCTGCAGCCACCTCTAACACCACCTGTAGCAGCCCTGCATCCCGTGCTCCCCATCTGAGTGGGACCAGCAAAAAGCACTCAGCTGCAATTCTCCGAAAAGAGCGTCCCCTGCCAAAGATTGCCCCCGCCGGGAGCATCATCAGCCTGAATGCAGCCCAGTTGGCGGCAGCTGCCCAGGCAATGCAGACCATCAACATCAATGGTGTCCAGGTCCAGGGCGTGCCTGTCACTATCACCAACACAGGCGGTGAGGATGGCCCCTGTGGCCAGGGTGTTGGCAGTGGTACCTGCTCCTAGCAGGTGGAAACTATGGGCTGGCCCCGGGATTTCCAGTAACAATAGTGAGGATGCTGTCCATCATAGCTTAAGGGTACGTCCACCTGCAGCTTCTCACCTAGTCCTTACGATAGCACTCAGAGATAGTTTAAGGCACATGTCCCCATCTGACAGCTGAAAACAGAGAAGACAGATGTACTCGGAAAACTTTCCAACTAACATCCAAACGCAAAAACGGCTTCTTGGAGGAGAAAGCTTTGAGTTAAGGTTGGAAGAAAAGGGAGGCCCTGGCAGTCGGAACAGTTTGTGCTGCACTTCAGTTCAGTGGTGAGATTTATGCTGTGAAACCAGCCTTGCAAATAACCAGAGGAAAAATTGGAGCAACCTAGCAAAAATGGCTCCTTATGTAGGGGGAGCTCTCTGAATTTCTCTTCATCCTTAATGATTTTTTTTTTTTTTTGAGACGGAGTCTCGCTCCGTTGCCCAGGCTGGAGTGCAGTGGTGCAATCTGTGCCTCAGCCTCCCGAGTAGCTGGGATTATAGGCGCCCACCACCATGCCCCACTAATTTTTGTATTCTTAGTAGAGACGGGGTTTCACCATCTTGGCCAGGCTGGTCTTGAACTCCTGACCTTGTGATCCATCCACCTCAGCCACCCAAAGTGCTGGGATTACAGGCGCGAGCCACCATACCCAGCCCATCCTTAATGAATTTTTAGCACTTTAACACATTTGCTTTTCCCTCTTGAGGTGACCCCCAAGAGGATAAGGCATCCTAGAGCATCTGATTTTTCCCAAAGCCCATAGAACTGTGTCCTCTTTTGTGTGTGTGTGTGTGTGTGTGTGTGTGTGTGTGTTTTAAAGACATGGCCTCAGGGCCTCGCTCTATCATCCTTGCTGAAGTGCAGTGGCAAGATCATGGCTCAGTGCAGCCTCAGCCTCCTGGGCTCAAGCAGTCCTCCTACTGCTTCCTGAGTAGCTGGGAATACAGGCATGTAGCACCATGCCCAGCCAATTTTTTAGTTTTTTGTACAGGTGGGGGTCTCCCTATGTTGCCCAGGCTGGTCTTGAACTCCTGGGCCCAAGCAATTGTCCTGCCTGCCAGAGTGCTGAGATTACAGGTATGAGCCACTGTACCTAGCCTGTGACCTCTGTCTTTTTAACAGAAATTCCTGGAGTCTTTCCTAAAAGCAGAGTTGGTATCTCACAAGGGCCTAAGGTTGGAGGAGATTCAGGAAGAAATGTCTTAAGTCCCTTCCCAACTGAAATCATGTGGGCAATATTTTGAAGCAAATTCTGCCTACATAGTACAGTGGTTCAGGGCACCGACTTTGAAATGGGCTTCCTGGGTTCAGATCTGTGTTCTACCACTTACTAGCTGTGTGATCTTGCTATGTTATTGAGCCTCAGTTTCTTCATCTGTAAAGTGCTGATAGTACCTATTTTATAGGGTCATGAAGATTAAATGAGTGAATACATACAAGGTCCCTAAAACGGTATCCACCGTATAGCAGGCTCTCAAAAATAGCTGCTATGATTATCATCTTTGTCATGTGCAGAAGGGCAGAAGGGTTGACTCGAGGTTTCAGGCTTCCTCGCCCTGAACTCTGCCCTCTTTGTCCCCACAGGGCAGCAGCAGCTGACAGTGCAGAATGTTTCTGGGAACAACCTGACCATCAGTGGGCTGAGCCCCACCCAGATCCAGCTGCAAATGGAACAAGCCCTGGCCGGAGAGACCCAGCCTGGGGAGAAGCGGCGCCGCATGGCCTGCACATGTCCCAACTGCAAGGATGGGGAGAAGAGGTAATTCAAGGAGAGGGGCCAAGCCACAAGGCTGGCCTGTGTTCCCCAAGCTCCTCCTGAACAGTTGTCCAGAGCTGCAACTGGCACAGATCAGGCAGGGAGGAGCTGGCAGCTCTGTGCCACCTTGCCCCTTGCCTCCTTGTGCTCTCTGACCTGACCCCACATCCTCACTGCATCCTGTTCCTGCCCCATCCTCTACCTTTTTTCTCTCCTCTTCCTATTCCGTCCACTCTACCCTCACCCCAATTCTCAGGTCTGGAGAGCAGGGCAAGAAGAAGCACGTGTGCCACATCCCCGACTGTGGCAAGACGTTCCGTAAGACGTCCTTGCTGCGTGCCCACGTGCGCCTGCACACTGGCGAGCGGCCCTTTGTCTGCAACTGGTTCTTCTGTGGGAAGAGGTTCACACGGAGTGACGAGCTCCAGCGGCACGCTCGCACCCACACAGGTCAGCCCCCTGCCTTCAGGACCCTTCAACCACACAGGTCAACTTCCTGCCTGTCCCTCCACCCCCACTCTACCGGCTTTAGCAACATTGACACTCCTGGAACTGCCACACTGAGCAAGAGCTACAGACTGTCCAGGGACGACATAGGAAATTATTTTCAAGCCATTCCGTTATCACTGTTGTTTCTCCAAGTAATAGGAAAAGAATAGTTGTCGTTGCATGACACAACCTGATGACTTTTGCCATGTCAGCATAGTTATTTAACAAACACTGACATGGTGTGCCAGGCACAGTACTAAGCACTTTACTGATTACCTCAGTTGATCCTGGTAAGGACTTTATGGGAGGATACTTTGTTTATGTTTATGCCTTTTTTTTTTTTTTGAGATGGAGTTTCATTCTTTTGCCCAGGCTGGAGTGAAGTGATATGATCTTGGCTCACTGCAGCCTCCGCCCCCCAGGTTCAAGCAATTCTCCTGCCTCAGCTTCTCAAGTAGCTGAGACTACAGGCACCCACCACCATGCCCAGCTAATTTTTGTATTTTCAGTATAGACGGGGTTTCACGATGTTGTCCAGGCTGGTCTCGAACCCCTGACCTCAGGTGATCCACCCACCTCAGCCACCCAAAGTGCTAGGAATACACACATGAGCCATTGCACCGGCCTGTTGATGCCTATTTTACTGAGGCATGGAGAAGTGGCCCAGTCACACAGCTAGTGACTGGTGCAGCCAGGTTCAAACCCAGGCCCTGCCACAGCTTTTTTTCTTTCTTTTTTTTTTTTTGAGACAGGGTCTCACTCTGTCACCCAGGCTGGAGTGCAGTAGCACAATCTTGGCTCACTGCAGTCTTGAACTCCTGGGCTCAAGCAATTCTCCCACCTCAACCTCCTGAGTAGCTAGGACTACAGGCGTGCACCACCACACCTGGCTAATTTTAAAATTTTTGTAGAGACAGGGTCTTACTGTGTTGCCCAGGCTGGTCTCAAACTTCTGGGCTCAGCTGATCCTCCCTCTTCTACCTCCCAAAGTGAGATATCACAGTTATAGTTTTAGGTACTAGCAAATCAATGCAAAACTATTAAAAATATTGATCCAGGCTGGGCACAGTGGCTCACACCTGTAATCCTAGCACTTTGGGAGGCTGAGGCAGGTGATCACTTGAGCCCAGGAGTTTGATCAGCCAGGGCAATATAGCGAGAGCCCATCTCTTAAAAAAAAAAAGTTCATACATCTGCCACCTGAAATTGTCCTGGGTATCCACAGTGGTCCACACACACACTTTGGCAAACACTGCTATAGTGAATGCCTGCAGTGAGCAGACACCTGTCCTGGGGCTAGAGGGCTGAGGGAAGCTTGACCCAGAGCTCCAGCTCCCGGCCAGTGTGGTGAGACAGGTCCTACTCCTCAAAAGGCAGAGGAGCCAGCACTCCACAGGAAAGCAGTTGGGGTCAACATGGTTCCAACTAAGTGAGTGCTCAGGGCTGGCAGGGTCAGGGTGGAGCGGGATTTTCCTGCGATGGGGAGGATGCTGATCCAGGTTCAAAGTCAGAGAGACAGAAGAAGAAAGCAGGCGGACAACCCTGCACGGAAGACTCTTAGGTGCAGGGGCTCCAGGGACAAGGAATGGGAACAAAATAGACTGCAGAGGTCAAATGGGGGCAGAGAGAAATGAGAATTGATAAAAAGATTTAGATGAGTAGGGGGCCAAGCGTGGTGGCTCATGCCTATAATCCCAGCACTTTGGGAGGCCAAGGTGGGCGGATCACTTGAGGTCAGGAGTTCAGGACCAGCCTGGCCAACATGGTGAAACCCTCTCTCTACAAAAATACAAAAATTAGCTGGGCGCAGTGGCGGGCATCTGTAGTCCCAACTACTTGAGAGGCTGAGGCAGGAGAATTGCTTGACCTGGGAGGTGGAGGTTGCAGTGAACGGAGATTGTACCACTGCATGCCAGCCTGGCCAACAGAGTGAGACTCCATCTCAAAAAAAAAAAAAAAAGATTTAGATGAGTAGGCACCAGGGAGCAAATGTGAGAGCAGGAGGTGGGCAGAATGTGGTGACAAGGCTACGTCAGCTTGTTGGGTGCCCCTCACACACACCCCACCTTTTTGGGCAGAGACAGGGTCTGTGCCCAGGGTATGTGGGTGATGGGCATCTCCTCTTCCCAGGGGACAAACGCTTCGAGTGCGCCCAGTGTCAGAAGCGCTTCATGAGGAGTGACCACCTCACCAAGCATTACAAGACCCACCTGGTCACGAAGAACTTGTAAGGCCAACTGCGGCGGGAGGCCCTGAAGATGCAATCCCCCGCCTGTGTCCTCCCTGGGCCCCTGGTGGAAAGGAGCCCTGTGGCTGCCCTGGGCCTGCCCTCAGCCCCACTCCTGTTCTGCAACTGTCCCCACAGGAAGGGGCTCTGCTCCCTGTCCTCCTTCTGAAGCCCCTTGGCTCCGCCTTGGCCCTTCCCCTCACCACGAGCTCCCGGCCTGCCCAGACTGTGGACACTGGCCGTGCCCAATGAGACGTTCTAAACCAGGACGCGTGGGAACCCTTATTTCCAAAGGAAAAACATGCATTTCACTCCGTCGAGGAGCAAAGTGAGCCCCCACCCCCCACCCCAATCCCCGCTCCCAACACTGCCGGAGTCGCATCGTGCCATGCCCACTCTCCTGCACCTCCCTGGCCCTGCCGGCCACTGTGGACGCCCTGGGGCTTGGCACCCACCTCTGGAGAGACTCGGGGCCACCTCCACTCCATGTGCCCAGCCCCGCCACAACCTCTCCTCCAGCACATTCCAGCTCTGTTTAAAAAGTAAAGACACCCACCGACTCCTCCTGATCCCCCTCTTTTTCTATGGAGAACGTTGCCTTATACTCTCTACTTCAGATGATGAACACTGTGTACTGTGTGTGCTTTAAAGAAGTTTTATTTAATTGCTCCCTTCTTCCTTTCCTTGTTATTCACCTCCCCAATGCCTGCTTTCAGTTGAGGGTTGGGGGCAATGATGAGCATATGAATTTTTTTCTCACTCTAGCAATTCCCTTTTCTAAATGACACAGCATTTAAACTCAAATCTGGATTCAAATAACAGCACCTGCCCATCCTGCACCTCTTCCCTCTCCCTTCACCTCACCCCTGCCCGGCCCAAGCTCTACTTGTGTACAGTGTATATTGTATAATAGACAATTGTGTCTACTACATGTTTAAAAACATATTGCTTGTTATTTTTGAGGCTTTTAAATTAAACAAAAATCCAACTTTATTTTTAGTTGTAACTGCTTGAGGTATGTTTTATGAATTAAGTGACAGATTTGTTATCCTTTATTAACGTACTTTGTTGGTCAGCGCTGGGCTGACAAAAATTTTTTCTTGCTAATAAATTTAGTTGCCTGAGGCAAAATCTTCAACTTGGCAGTTCGGCTTCCTTTGTCTTTTCCCTTGGAGAGCTCGGAGAGGAGACTCCAGAGGAGGGAGCTGTGGTCTCTCAGAGCGATCCACACTGGGATCAAGGTAGGACCTTACCCTCCTGACCCTCAGCAAACCCAGGCCACATGCCCAAAAGGGGCCGCAGCCACATGTACCTCACGACACTGGCACGAGCCCCCAGAGCACCTCCAAGGGCCAGGGCCCAGTGCAGGTGTTCCTGCCTTTTTCTTCTGTAAGCCAGTTTTGCCTGTACACAAATCAGATACAAAGAGCCAAGTCACAGCAGTGACCTCAGCCAGCAAGTTAACTCCTCCACCCACCTCCCCAACCCCTGGAGGAAGGCATTGGCCTCAGAGCCCATTAGCAAGAGGCTTAGAGAGGAGAGCCAGTGGGGCCTTGGCTCAGTCCCCTCCAAAAGGCTACAGTCTGGCAAAAATGCATTTCCCCAAGGGCCAAGGTCCCTTCCCAAAGTGAAGGGCCAGGCAGGTTCCTGGGAGGGCCTGGCAGCTAGAGGGGCCTGGAGCCCAGCTCTACCCGAGAGAGGACTCTGGCCACAGATTCTGGTTCCTTCTATATCCCTGCCCAGTAACCCAGAGAGGACGACAAGTTGATTGTGCCTTTTGGTTTTAGCAGATGCTGCAAATCTGAAATTTTGGTGGGGATCTGTTTTGCTTTGTTTTGCAGAGCTAATAGGAACTCAGGGGTTGCGATGTTGTGCAGATTAAGATTGGAGCTAGCTCAGTACATGTGTTTAAGCCCCACAGGGCCCCGAAGAGCATCCGGCCTGAAGAGACAGGCAAGTCCGCCTCAAGCATGTAGAGGACAGCATGTGCTTTCACTCACCCTCGAAGGACACAGCTGGGATTGCTGTTCTGTTCAGGAGTGGTGAGGCTCGTTTTGAGCTATCCATTCCCCTGCTCTGTTCCCTTTGTCACCAGCCACCTGTGTCTGCCAGCAAACAGCTTTTCCTTAGAGCCAGTCAACCCTCAAACGGCTGAAAAAGTAAAAAGCCCACGGATCTCAGATAGATCCAAGTTCTCTGCCCTTCACCTCTTCTTTGTTAACAAGCAGGGGGCCTTTCCTATCCCTACTGAAGCCATTTGGGCAATACTAGACCACCAGCGGAATCTACCTTGACACAGAAGCGTCTTCCTCAGCCCCTCAGCCCTGCATCTCATCACTGCACTGGCAGCAGGGGGACATGAGGTGTATTTATTCCTCATGGGTGGACTGGATGACTAGAAAACTGCCTTGCTGTGTTCTGAATAAGGGGATTGGTGGAGAGAAGGGGAATATTAACAAAGTGACCTCTTTCTGCCACATGTTTCCCTTGGCTTTGCTCTCAGGCACAAAGAATGATCCTTTCCTGGGAGCTGATTCCAAGCCATGTGCTTTATGCTTCCAGTACAGAAACTGACCTGACTTCCCAGCATCATTTGGAAATGAAGATGCCAGCCCCCAGCTGGGCAGGACGAGCATGTCCCGTGTAGGATTTGCCTTCTCCAGTGAGATGGGGGTTCAAAAGTTATATCTGATCATCTCTGCCTCCCTTGGGATGGCTGAGTTAAGAGCGAGAGAATGTATTCTGCCTAGCTGAGTGATGGCACGAGGAAAGCACAGAAAGACTTGTGGGCAAATTAACCCTCCTCAGGCTTTAACCTATCCATTATTTGAGAGTTGCAGGGGAACTGTTGAAGGTGTGATGTGGTCTAAGCTCACTCTGGGCAAGAGGCTCCCACAGACACCTGATCCTGATGGGCCCTTGATGAAAATCTGGGTGCAGCTCAAGGGTGGGGGTCCCTCATGTGTGGTTCCTTCTCTGTCCTCTACCATCCCCAGCGTCATGTCCACCAAAGCCTATCCCTCATGCCCCTCCTGTCTGTCCAGCTGAGACTTGACATTGCGCTCATTATCCCAGAGACCAGGATTCCATGCCTGGAAGAAAGGGGGACTGGGCAGGATTTCCCTCCCAAAGGCAAATTCAGACATTATATATACTTCATTTTTTTTTCCTTTAACCAAACCAGCAAATGGGTCATCCTTGCCCTTCCTTCAAACCACCCAGTCCATTTTCACAATCATCTTTCTGGCCGGGCACGGTGGCTCATGCCTGTAATCCCAGCACTTTGGGAGGCTGAGGCAGGTGGATCACTTGAGGTCAGGAGTTCAAAACCAGCCTGGCCAACATAGCAAAACCCTGTCTCTACTAAAAAATATAATAATTAGCCGGGCATGGTGGCGCATGCCTGTAGTCCCAGCTACTCGGGAGGCTGAGGCAGGCAGGAGAATTGCTTGAACCCAGGAGGCAGAGGTTGCAGTGAGCCGAGATTGTGCCACTGCACTCCAGCCTGGGTGACAGAGCAAGACTCTGTCTCAAAAAAAAAAAAAAGAAAGAAAATAATCATCTTTCCAGTACCCTTTTGAGGCCCCATGCTTGTCTGATGACAGTGCTGAAGTTATAGCCCGCCACACATGACATATTTTGAGGAAGACAGGATGGAGCAAGAGAAGGGTTCAGACCTAGCCCCAAGCCCAGGGTGGGTGTGTAGGAGCCCTAAGCGAATGGATGCAAGCTGTCCTGGTCTGAGTGCAGAGAATGGGGTGTTCGGGTTCTCCATTTGAGAACCACTGCCCAAACCTGAGACCCCTTTAAGGTTGCCCCTTAAAGTTTCCACACCCAGAAATTGGGCCAAAAAAGTTAAGCTGTTGGTTATTTCAATTCTGAATAAAAATGAAGGCATCTCTGCCTCCTAAGACCTGGTCTGATCTTGGCTCCTTCATCACTAGAACCTTCCTGAGCAGTGGTCTGGGACCCCTCGCCTTCCTCCCTCCACCTGTGTTTCAGAGCCCTCCTAGTCAGCATGGGCTTCACCTTAATCCCCACGGCTATTCTCTCTTCTTCCTGGGCTTCACCTCAAGCCCTACTGCTATTCAACCCCCCTCTTCCTCTTCAGCTTCAAAATAGACTCCTGCATGTACCTTAATTAAACACAGGCCCACTGCAACCCCAGTACCTCAGAGACCAGGAGGGAAACTGTTTTCAACCATAAGGAAAACAAAGCAAGTACTGTGGTCAATGTCAGTGACCCTCTGCTTAGGGCAAATGTTGGAGTGTGTGACTGCAAAACTGGGACATCCACCCCCCACTACAGGGGGTGCCCCTACTCTGCTTCGGCCAGTTGGTGCTGTGTGAGAATGCCAACTCTTGTGATTTTTGTAAGAGAAGCCAGAAATGTGGAGTTTGGGGTGGAATCTGATCTTCCAATGTTGGCTCGATTGTTTAAAAATACAGCAGGACCAGTTTCAGCCCTCAAGCTACCAGTTTTTGACTTCTGCATCATCCATCCCCTCTTCCCTGGCCAGTGACATCCTCTCTACCCCGACAACCTCCTACCTCTCAGTCTTCCCTTCCCCAAATTACAGGATCACAATGGCCAAAACATTTTTTGTTTGTTTGTTTTGAGACAGGGTCTTGCTCTGTTGCCCAGGCTGGAGTGTGATGGCGCGATCTCAGCTCACTGCAACCTCTGCCTCCTGGGTTCATGTAATTTTCCTGTTCCCAGCCTCCCAAGTAGCTGGGATTACAGATGTCCACCACCGTGCCCAGCCTTTTTTTTTTTTTTAAATAGAGACAAGGTTTCACCATGTTCACCAGGCTGGTTTCAAACTCCTGACCTCAAGTGATCTGCCCACCTCGGCCTCCAAAGTGCTAGGATTATAGGCTTGAGCCACCATGCCCAGCCTCATTTTTTGTATTTTTAGTAGAGACGAGGTTTCACTATGTTGGCCAGGCTGCTCTTGAACTCCTGACCTCAGGTGACGTGCCTGCCTCGGCCTCCCGAAGCACTAGGATTACAGGCGTGAGCCACTGCGCCCAGCTCCCCAAACAGTTTAACCTACTGCCCAAGAGATTATCAAAGTGGAAGGAGGCAACTGCCCAAAGCAAGTGGGACAGCCCCTAGGGGTTAGACCACTGGCCTCAGTGTCCAAAGGCTCAAGTGCCTGTTGCTTCTGCTGCTTTCCTTGCCTGTAAGGGGTGAACAGGGTTCTCAGTTCCTCTCCTGCACCAGGCCCCCAACACACTGACCTTTCTTCCTAGAGGACCTTAGACCAGCACTGACCCCTCCAGTGGGCAGGCAAACAGCTTTTCATGGTGGCAGTGTCAGCAAGAATGTGTTAGTGAAAGAACAGGCCGAAGACCCCCAGGAGAAGTAGTGGAGCATCCATTGTGTCATCAGCCTGGGCTTTTCAGGTGATACCTGTGACAGCTCTGCAGACTGCAGTTGCGTGATGTACACCCCTGAGTTTGGGGTCAGCTCTACCTTAGGTCCACTGCTGTCCTGCAGTACAGTAAAAGGGCCTGGTCCCCAGTCATTAATCTTGACATTGTCTCAGTCTCTTCCTAATTTCCAGTCCTAGAAGAGCTCGGCCATGATGTCGACTGGACACAGACCCCTCTGCAGAGTCAGAGGGGGCTAGATCCACCCCCTACAGCAATGCCCACACCAGGGTCCCATGAGGCGTGTGTCTTCTACACTGTCCTCCCACAGGCAGGTGGTCTTACTCAGCACAGCAGGGCCACCCACCCGATGCCAGGGAGCTTTTAGGGAGACAGGCCCAAAGTTTAATAGAACTGTGATAACTGGGAGTCCTCGGGGGGACACCCTGGGCTCCCCAGCTCATGGTGAGAAAGTGGGCTGTGGTCACGCACACAGATACTACTTCTTAGCAGCGTCGTCCTTTACCCCAGGCAAAAGGGAGTATGGCAGAAGTTTCCTAGTGCACACTGCCCTAAGGAAAACTCACCCTCCCCAAGACCAACCCTATCTCTTGTCCTGTCTCCAAAAACAAGCTGCCACATCATTTCCAAAGTGAGCGGACCCATTTCCCCATACCACACCTGTTCTTCAGTTGGGGAGACCTGGACGAAGCAGCCGAAAGACTGAGAACTGTTACGGATGGGAAACTAAGGGGACAGGACTGCTAAATGCAAGGTGGGGTCCTGGAACAGAAAAAGGACATGAGTGGGAGAAAAAGGGGTGAAACTCAAAAAAGCCCAAGTTTGCTTTTTTATTTTTTTGGTAGAGTTGGAGTCTCCCTATGTTGCCCAGGCTGGTCTCAAACTCTTGAGCTCAAGGATCTGCTCACCTAGGCCTCCCAAAGTGTTGGGATGACAGGCAGGAGCCACCATGCCCGGCCTCTGTAGTTTAATTAATAGTGGTGTGCCAATGTTAATTTCTTGATGTAGACAATTGTGCTATGGTAGTAAGATCTTAATATTTGGGGAAGGTAGGTGAAGGGTGTATGGGAAATCTCTGAACTACATTGGTAACTTTTTCGTAAGTCTAAAATTACTTTAACAAATTGGAATGGAAGACCTGGAATAGAGACATAAAAAATGAAGCAAATGGAACAAGATCACCCAAGCAGCATCAGAATCAGAGTGGACAGCACATACTATGGTGACTAGAACCCTGAGATTCTGGAGATTATGAGAGGTGTGGGCACCTGTTAGAGTTTGCCAGCTATGGCCCCACCTTCATTCTGCCCCTTGCCACTTGCACCATCTCAGGTCCCCAGACCCCTCAGGGGCTCATGGCTGATAGAACACAGATGCCGAGGAACCTAACTCAGGATGAGATGCTGCCTTGGGACAGAGAACACTTGTAATTCAACCAAGGTCTTTGGGCTGGGGTGAGTCACTGAAGGAACTGCGGTAATCTCAGGACAGGTGGCAATTGGGTTTCCTAGGTGAAGGGGTCCTCACGGAGTAGAAGAGGCAGGAAGTGAGCTTGGGAGGATGGAATAATGAACAGGGCTGTGGGTAAAAAAAATGAAGCAAACCATGGTGGACTATGGTAGTGACTCAGGGCCTGGAGAACAGGGTCAAATACCTGCTCATAGGGACCTTGGGCAAAAGAAAATAAGAACTGACCACAGGGCAAGCCAAATGCAGGGACCAAGCAGGATTTCTCAAAGGAAACTAGGAAGCCGCTAGGCCATGTCCTTTGGGGCTGCCTGAAAACCCACCACCAGGCCTCCTCACTTACTGCCTGTGGCCCACACCATAATTACCAAGACAGGTAGTCTGGGGACTGAAACTGATTTAATTCACTTGGCCTTTGAAGCTCACCATCCCTCCAGTCAACAAACACACTTGTGGACGGGGACAGCGGCTCATGCCTATAATCTCAGCACTTTGGGAGGCTGAGGCAGGAGGACTGCTTGAGCCCAGCGGTTTGAGACCAGGGGCAACATAGTGAGACCCCTCTACAAAAATAAAAAAATTAGCCAGGCATGGTGGTGTGTGCCTACAGTCGCAGCTACTTAGGAGGCTGAGGTGGGAGGATCTCTTGAGCCCAGGAGGTCAAGGCTGCAGTGAGCTATGAGTGTGCCACTGCATTCCAGCCTGGGAAACAGAGTAAGACCCTGTCTCAAAAAAAAAAAAAAAAAAAAAAGAAAGAAAGAAAGAAAGAAAAAAACAAAAAACAAAAAACAAAAACACACACTCAGCCCTGCTCCCACCAGGTGCAAAAAAGTTCCATGCCCCACTCACCATACCTAACACCCATCATACTGAAAAGCTTAACAAAAGTGGTTTATGCATAAACATTACAGATTTTTTTTTTTTTTTTTTTTTTTTTTTTTTTGAGACGGAGTCTCCCTCTGTCGCCCAGGCTGGAGTGCAGTGGCCGGATCTCAGCTCACTGCAAGCTCCGCCCCCTGGGTTCACGCCATTCTCCTGCCTCCGCCTCCCCAGTAGCTGGGACTACAGGCGCCCGCCACCTCGCCCGGCTAGTTTTTTGTATTTTTTTTTTAGTAGAGACGGGGTTTCACCGTGTTAGCCAGGATGGTCTCGATCTCCTGACCTCGTGATCCGCCCGTCTCGGCCTCCCAAAGTGCTGGGATTACAGGCTTGAGCCACCGCGCCCGGCCAAACATTACAGATTAGCATTTTTTGAGCACACCTTGTGGGCTAGGATTGTGAGAAGGAGCCAGAGAAAGTTAAGAGATGTGGTCCCTCTCGGCAAGGAGCTCCCATTTTAACAGGGAATACCAGCCACACACAATGGATTTGGGAAGCCATCTATAAGCACATGCAAGGATTGTGTAGGGGGTTAGCCACAAGCACCATGGGCAGGACACTGGTAAGGTTCAGCCTCCTCTGATCTTGCCCCAAGCCTCTGAGGACTCACCACCTTTGGGCCTCTGATAAATCTACTCAGGGCTCAGGCATCTGCTGGCAGAGCATCAAGCACACATCCTTCTGTAAGTCCTGGTGTTGCTACCCTTGGGGCCCCAAGCTGAGTTCACCCCAAGGCTGGGCCCAAGAATTCCTGAGCTTCAGGCCCTCCAGCACACCCCTTGCTCTGCTATCAGCCTTCTTCCTCTCACCTCTTAGAAAGCTGGACACTGGCCAGGCAGGTGGCACACACCTGTAATCTCAGCACTTTGGGAGGCTGAGGCAGGCGGATCACCTGAGGTCAGGAGTTTGAGACCAGCCTGGCCAACATGGTGAAACCCCATCTCTACTAAAAATACAAAAATTATCCCAGTGTGGTGGTGCGTGCCTGTAATCCCAGCTACTCGGGAGGCTGGGACAGAAGAACTGCTTGAACCCAGGAGGTGGAAGTTGCAGTGGGCTGAGATCGTGCCACTGCACTCCAGCCTAGGTGACAAGAAAAAAACTCCATCTCAAAAAATAAAAAAATAAAAAATTGTAAAAAGAAAGCTGGACGCTATATTTCACCAGC